GCTCCCCAACCAGAAGGGATTGCTGGTTACTTACTGGTACCGTAGAAGATACACACGTCACTGTCAGTCTTCAGTGAAGAAGTACCACTATTATTCACTCATGTGAAATAATGAGAAAACTGGATTTATTTGTTTTTATAGTGTCAGTTGTACAAGGTCATTCTTCCATGCTTAAGATGTGACTACCAGCACCTGAGAAAAACCTAAAGCAGTTACAGCACCCTTTCAGGAAGGGCCAAAGCCTTCTCTAACAGTTTTAGCTCACTTCTTTAAAAACAGGTCTGCACACATTCCCCCCCCCCCCCCCCCAGTAATATTTGGGGTCAGTGGATGGAGACAAGTTTGGCAACTTTGGGTCACAAAAGATGATCCCACATGCTTTGTCAAGTCTGTCAGCTAAAGAGCAAAGGTGAAGTCAAAGTTACACCTAATAATTCTTACCTAATAATTTGTGATGTCCCCAGCCAGTTTCTTCAGCAGAAACTGGCAGATACTGTGTTGCTGCCAAAACAGTATGCAGTAGGAAATATGATAATACAGGAAACAATCGTAAAAATATCTTTGTGTAATTCAGTTAAATAGACAGTGAGAAGACTTTATCCAGGCTCAATTAGGTCTGCTAATCACAGTGTAGCTTTACCTCTCATTATTAATGCCAGACGCCCTATGTTATTTGCAATTACCAGAAATATATGTCCTGTGACATGAACAAAGAATTGTTGCAATGTTAAAGCTAAGAAAAGAGGACCTCGGAGACTGAGGGGCAGCAAAAGCAAGGTCTCCACTTATACACATCCACCTTAAGTGGAAGAGAAATTGCCGTTGTCTGAATGTGACATTTCCAGGTACATTTCCTGTCTCTTGCATGCAGTAAGGGAAGACAGTCACACTCACTTTTATATTTGCACATCAAATAGTTCAGGTTACTTGTCTCACAGCCTCCTAAGAATACTGCAACGCCAGACAGGGACCAGCTCTCTCTGGCTCCTCTCTGCTAGACAGAAAGGAAAAAGACAAAGCCCTCACCACAGAACAGCAATGCTTCTGGCTGAGGCCTCAAAATTAGACAGCCCCTTTCAAGCAGCATGCCTAGGTTTAAAGGAAATAGCATAATTTGCTCAAATGCAGCAACAGCCATGGTTTCCAAGAGACATGCCAATAACTCACAGTCAAAGTTTCTTCTGAGCCCTGAGGATCTAACCAAGAGGGTGAAATGGTGAAGGTTATAACATCAGCTAAAGAGAGGAGCATGTCTCCCTTTTTAAGACAGGAAGGTCTTCCAAACAAGTCCTCAATTTTTATGCGTTCAGAAGCATTTGGGTATCTTGTGCAGTCACCACAGTCCTAAACAACACCACCAACAAAGTCAGGCTGAACATTAGAAACCAGCTTTGCTTTGATATAGTTCATTTTCATTTTTTTTGTTTGTATTTAAGAAGCTCACTTTCATCTGACAGCACATGTTATGGTGTCTAAGAGTCTGTGCAGGCTTGTAGACAACCACAAGTCTACAGCAAAGAAGTACTGTTCCTCAAATAAAACAGAAAGAGAAGGAACCTTTCTTTTATGTATCTACTCCCCACTCCCTCTCCAAACAATAGGTAGTCTGGTTTTATTATTACAATGTACAGATATTACTAAAGAAGTATGCAGTCTTACAAATTTAAGAAATAGCATCTCACCTGAATATGTACTCTGATTTAGAAATTAGAGTAAGTCATAGAATCATGGAATTATTTGAGTTGGACAGGACCTTAAAGCTCCAACCCCCTGCCATGGGAAGGGACACCTTCCACTAGACCAGGTTGCTCCAAGCCCCATCCAGCCTGGCCCTGAACACTTCCGTTGATGGGGCAGCCACAGATTTTCTGGGCAACCTGTGCTGGTGCCTCACCACCCTCATAATGAAGATTTTTTTTTCCAATATCTAACCTAAATGTAGTTTAAAGCTATTACCCTCTTCCAGTTTAAAACCATTCACCCTTCCTCATAACTTTTTATCTTCCTCGTAAAAAGTCCCTCTCAAGATTTCCTGTAGGCCCCTTTACTGGAAGGCTGCTATAAGGTCTCCCTGGAGCCTTCTCTTGTCCAGGCTGAATAACCCCATTCTCTCAGCCTGTATTCATAGGAGAGGTGCTCCAGCCCTCACATCATCTTTGTGGCCTCCTCTGGACTCGCTCAACGAGGTCCACATCCCTCTCATGTTGTGGGCCCCAGAGCTGAATGCAGCACTGAAGGTGGGGTTTCATGAGAGCAGAGCAGAGGGGCAGGATCACCTCTTTCACTGGCTGGTCAACAACTAAATTAATTCAGCAAACAGGGTTTAACAGAAGACTGGGGGGTGTCAATCTAAATTTTGAGTACATCAGTTGCACAGCACAGGCAATCAGGAAAGCACAGTTTAAAGGCTTCCACTGTCATTCCTACAGCCAGTGCAGTCATGCTTTATGATTTCTTGTTGGGGGTGGGGAAGAAACACAAAAGGCTTTTTTTGGTCTAAAACCTCTGCATCTAGCTGAAAGATTCCTGAGCAAGGAGGAGTGTTTGCTTTAGAGCCAGAAACAAACCTTTACTTTATTTATTGCTCAAACTATCCCAGTGAGCTCCATTAAATATTTATGTAAGACTACTATTTATCGCCTCTGCATTGTCCGCACACAGACATATCCGTGTCTCTGCATAATCTGGTGCAGCATCACCAGATTAACTTTTAACGTAAACTAATGCAGGAAAAAAAAAAAAAAAAAAAATCACACCTAGAAACTTTCCCAAAAGGCCACTTCATCTGTACGTACTATCTCATCCACAATAGCCATGATAATTAACAACAATCATTTCTGTATATTTTGTAAGCATCTGGCCAACAGATCTTACAAAGTGCTACTTTGTGGCACCATTTAAAACTTCCCAGATAGCATCAGTTTCAGGAGCTCATAGTGACAGAGAACATTATTGAACACCTCTAACTCCCTTATTTTTCCCTAAATTTAAGTAAAAAAAAAAAATTTTTCTCAGAAATCACTGTTTCTGTTTGTTGTTAATATTTCTTATTAGGTTCTCACTGAAAAGTAATCCAAACCTGATCTTAGTACTGTTTGCGGCTATGCTGACATCCTATGAGCAATTTACACAGTCTTAACTCTGCAGCTGAGCTACCAAGCAAGTTCTCTACGTCTGCTCCACAACATAGTGCTCACACAGTCCATGTACCAACCACTGCTTTCTCTTTTTCATTAGTTTCTGCTCATTCCCCTTCATCTCCAGGGCACGCGAGCCCCATGTTAAGAACCATCCAAGCACCACAACTGACTTGGATATCAGTATTAGTTTTATTGTTCTTGTGAACATACTTGAGCCACAGGAAGAGCAGCAGCAGACTCCTGATTGCCTGGATTTCCCCTGGCTCACACAAACAAGCAGCATTTGCACAACCAACTACAGTCACTTTCTCCATGTAATGACTTCTTATCGGTGCCTTGCTGGTAAACTTTCTCCCCACCTGGTTCTTCTTGGGCATTGGGACAGGAAGAGGAAAAAAAAAAAAACACAACAGAAAAAAAGGAGGCAAGCGTGACAACAATGCAGGCACTTTGATCCACTGCACTGCTTCCAAACCACCCTCTGTATCATTTCCTCACTGGTCAAAGCCAGCACTGCCAGCAAGCACAACTAACCACAAGGCTGAGCTGCCTGAAGACCCTGAAACAATTATTATTTGTATATTAGTATATGGAAGAGAAAGTCTGTGCTAGCTGCTCATCTAACATCCCAAATTTTCCATAAGGTATCTTAGAAGCAAAGAATGGTGGCGGTGAGGAAAACCCTCCACCAAATGCATCATTTGATGCACAGACATAGACCATTTCAAGCCTCTCCTCAACTGAACCCATTCCTCCTTGGTAAAAAAGGACTTTCCGCGCACACAGCCTTCTGTGAGGAGGAATGAAAGGTAACCTACAAAACACACCCAGTCCCATCATCGTGGATGCCCCCCACTCACAACGCATTGAAAACCCATCCCAGGCTAGTCCCAGTTGGTCACTTCATTGTCAGACTGTGCTACCAAACTCTGTACAAAGCACTGTTTCCACATGCAGCCTCTTTCCCCAAAATACCAGCAAAATAAAAGCAGCATAAAACAGGAACACAGCAAGATGGGATCTGGAAGTGACAGCCTTATCACACAACTGGCACTGTGAATGCTGTGTATTAATCCACTGCTTCTTCACAGGTATGTGATCTGGTTTTCAATTATTTCCATGCGCTTTCCGGGCAGGGCAGCTTTTGCCAACTTAACTTACCATGCCTGCTCCCCCCCCCCCCATCTTCCCGTTGTGCTTTTAAGGAGTTAGACAATAGGATCATAAAAACACTGGAAACACAAAGCTGTTCTGGAGCTTGCAGCATCCAGCGCTGGCAACAGAACACACGCTCCCGTCACTCGCTCATCCATCTCGTAAAGGCCATCAGAAAAGCAAACTACGCAGCCCGCATCCTAAAGTTCGCACCACTGCAGAAAGCCACTGGCTTGCCCTGAAACAGGCCCGGCTTAAAACAGGTTACATCTGTGCGAGAGCAACAGACACATGGAAACAATCACCGCGTCGTCCCCCGCCTGCCGCGAAGGACTCTCTCACTCCTATTTTGCTGTTGGAAACGCCACTTGGCTCCTCTCGCTCCGGGGGCGAGGAAGAAGAAATGACCTCCTGCTTCTCTTCTCCCTGCTTCTCTTCTCCCTGCCGCGCGGCTCCTCTGGGCGGGCAGTGGTGCCGCAGGAGCGGCTCCCGGCGGGGCGCGGCAGGGCAGGGCCCGGGCGGCGGCCGGGGAAGGGACTGGGCACCCTCAGGCCGAGCCCCCCCCTCATCCTCCCGAGACACTTCGGCCACTTTGGGGGTCCGTTCCCCCGCGGCCAGGGAGTCCAGCGGCCGGGGCGCTCCCAGAGGGAGCGGTACGCGGTAGCCCCCGCACCCGCCCCGCGGGGAAGGGACGCGGCCACTTACAGCTCAGGACCCCCAAGTAACCGATGAGCAGCAGGCGGAGGCTGCGGCTCGCCATCTTCCCGGCAGCGCAGCTCCCCGCCGGCGGCAGCGGTTAATAGACACCGGGCGACGCCGGCGGCGGGGCGTGAGGCGCGGCAGGGAAGGAGGGGGGCTCGGCCTGGTGTCGGTCCGGGAGAACGGGGAGGTGCCTGGCGGGCCGTGGGGTAGGTGCTGCCGTGGGGCTCTGCCTCCGCGCCAGCGGAGCGTTCCCGCCGCCACCCCCCCCAAAACTTATAACGTGTCCGAGGGGTCTCCCCGCCCCGGGCTAGCTCCGAGCCCAGGGATTGCGCGCCGGGTGCCGCTCCGCCCTTCCCTGGGGCGTCCGGAGTGGGGACCTGTGGCCGGCAGCAGCTCCCGGCTCATCCCACTCCTCCTGCTTTTCTGCCTCCCCATCCAGCGCGGTGCTCCGCGCCTCCCGGGGCTGTGTTGTGTGGTATTCAGCAGCTGCTCCCTCCGATTTATTTTATTTTCGAGCTACGAGATCTTCACAAGCTCAAGGACATTTGTTGCAACAAAATAAACTTTTCATTCAGAAAAGCTTAAACTTCTCAAAGAAGACCACGGTCCCTGTCGGTGCGTTTCCCGAAGTTAAGCCCACCTTGGAGGGGAAATACGAACAAGAGTTAACTCAAGAAACGAGAATTCAGATGTTCGGGTTGAAAAGAGAGCGACGCGGCACTGATTTGAGTTGCGGACTGTAAGCCATGTCGCACCGAGTCTTTGTGCCTGTACAGCTGGACCGGACAGAATCCCACCTGCTGTCGAGCGCCTCAGCGCACCAGCAGAAGATGGACCGCACGGTGACCTTCAAAGCCTTTTTTTTTTTTTTTTCCTTAGTTATACCACTTTATACCAGTCTGAGAGAGTCTGGATTAAAAATACAGGAGGTGTAATGGCCCTTTAAATTTATGAATCAGGGAAAATTACTCATCGTGACAGTCAAGACTGCATCTGAGTAGTTTCCAACAACATCTTAAAAATACATCAACACTGATGTAACACGGTTCTAAACCAAGCAAAGTGTAATAAGTATTTCTTCGATAATCAGAACAGCAATGTTGGCTATATTTTGTTAGACTGTAGCAAAATGAGGGAAGATTATTTATAAATAAAATCCCTAACAGCTATTTGGATGAAGACTGAAGGAGTAGGATGCCATGATGCTCTTCGTGTCAAAATCTTGGGTTTTTTTACATGCAAAAATGTATATAGAATACAAGTAACATTTCTGAAAAAAATGTGTGTCTGTATATATATATATGTCCAGTATATATTACCAGTATAGTGGTGACCTACATTTAATAAAATAAAAACTGTTCCATTGGCAACAGAAAAATTCTTTATTTGGAGTGGCCCAGCACATGGTAACTTTTAGCATATACAAAGTTTCACTGATTTCAGTAGGACTGCTGTTTAAAGCCACATGTGATAGAAATAATGTGTTGACAGAAAATTTAAATATATGGGAGGTGCCTGGTGGAAAAAAGTATAGAGGTGGGGAATGTGAGGAAATGGCAGTGTGGAATTAAATTAAGGGATAGCTCATAAAATGATGAATAAAGCTGATATAATGACAATGAATCAATGAAGGTAATGAAGAGATGAACTGTGAGGAGAAGGTATCCTATTAGACAACAAAATAAAGTGTAGGCTAGCTACAGAAGCCTTCCCACTACAGTAAACACTCAGTTCTAATTGCCCAATGCAGACTCATGTATACATACATACAGTTTCATTTGCATTTCATTAACATGACCCTTGCACCATAGTAAATCCACTTAAATGCTAAGGGTTTATATGAACATGAGATTGACGGTTTGGGGCTTTTTTCTGCTCACTCTTCTGCTTCTCTTGCAAGTGAACACAGAGTGCACAGTCCACACATTTCTCTGACCCGTTCTAGGATGGCTTCACAGTACTTCCACAGTTTCTTCACGTTTCCCTCTTTTATTTCAGCAGCTACAAACTCACCATTTCTTTGCTTGCTTTGTACAACTGCAGGAAACAACAGCAATCAAATATGAGCATTCTGAATGCAGTTAGAGGATCACTGGAAAAGTGGTTGTAAATAATAGAGTTAATTCTATATATACACTTTTTCTTTCTGTATGTTGTTGAACAATGTTAATCCTAAAAATACCCTTAAGTATTTTGTTAGAAGAGCACAAGACTGCTATCCATATTTTTAATCTTTTTAAGTTAAATGTAGCAAAAAATATTTTCATTAACCAACCCATAGAGCCCAATATGGAAAATTTGTACTAGATGCTCAGTTTGACAGTTATTCTTGGAGAGCTTTCCATACAGACTCCTTTTTAGAATAATAAAAATAGTCTATAATTAACATCTGCACACAGCATGCTGGTCAAGAATAGCTATCTTATTTTGTAATAAATATTCTAGTAATTTTCTTTGTATAGAAAAGCCTTTAAGGGTTGTGTGGAAGTGCAACATGATTTCAAGACTTGGATTCTTCTTAATGATCTCAGTAATTCATAAACTAAAAGATCATAATCATTTTACTAGATGGCATCTCAGATAAATCTACATTCTTACATTACAATGGAATTCTTTTTAATTTTAATGAAAATTTCTGTTGCAAATGTGGGGTGCTGATGACAATCTGTCATAATAGTACAAGTTCGCCCCTTTTACTTTCTGATAAAGAGTTCTGTGAAAAAACAATTTTGAAAAATATTTTGCAAAAATCCTGTGAAACACTATAATCTCAAACTCTGTCTCTTTTATTTGAGAACATTTCACTTTTATTTGCTATAGAATGATATAAATGAATACAGAGAAATTAACTTGTATTGAGAAAATACTCCTTTTGGTGATTTCTCCGCTCAAAATAGGTTTTATTTTGAAAGGAGAAATTAACCAAATCACCATATATTTATTTTTCTGCATCTTGCATGCTCATTTCTAGAATAACTTTGAGGCATAATTATAAAAAAAATAACCAGTATAACAAATTAGAACTGCAAAACTAGGTTACAAAGGTGTTGTGCTGTAAGTCCTTGAATACATTACAGATAGGTATGAGGAAGGCAATTATGATTAAAACATGCATAGGATAGGGGGAAAAGTAGTGTATTACAAGAAGAGAACTGGCTGCTTAATTAATACCTAAAAGAGTAAGATGTTAATTCTTATGTAGTCAAGACTCATCTGTCTTGGCTTACACACACTGAACTAGAAGACAGTGATGGGGAGAGCTAATGAATGTTCATCCTCATACTGTCATTCAAAAAAAGAGAAATGTCACAAAAGGCCATGCTTCTCTTTTATAGTCCATCCAGGCATAAACTTGACATATCTCAAGTTTATTTGTTGAATTTAGTTTGATCAAGTAGTGTAACCCTAACTTTGTGTAAGCAAGTACACATCTTTTATTCTGTTGATAAGCAGGTAGTATGAATGTGTGATGATCTGTGAGTAGCTCATCTCTTGTTTGCAGAGTGAAATACCAGTGAAAGTATCAAAGATTACAGTTCTGCACTGCTTTTCCTTTTTCTTCCTGTGTTTTCTTAAGTTAATTGTCCTTTAAACTTTTTAGCATCTCTTAGCTGAGCTGTAATAGCAGGTTATAGCCCAGCAAGGTTGCTGTTGACTGTGCCTGGTTATGATGAGATGAACAGGGGGTAAGATTTAGAATCTCGAGTGACTGAGGGAGAAAGTATACATAGCTTACCTATATTCCTATTTATATGGAAAGTTGGAGGGCTGATTCTTATTGGAATTTACGTTGTTTAGGTTTTGGTCAGGAAAACATTTTTGAATATTTTTCCATATTTAGAGGAGAAGAAGAAACAGATGTTTTAATATTTCCAAAAAGATAAATGTTATGTTTGAGGTGGTAAGAGATAGCATTTGAGACCTGATGCCACAGCCTGTGGGTTAAATCTCTGTAAACATGTTTTTTCCAAGCACACTAAACTGTTGTCATACAATTGTTCCACTAAGTGGTGAAGATGGGAGCTCTACATAGCTGTAGGGTGACTGTTCTGGTGTGATTCTGGGCATGGCAACGGGACAAGTTGATGGAAGACTATTTTGTAAAACTGCTAAAACAGATTCAATTTAATTAACTAGTTTAATCACCAAAATGCATATTTCATGCTCTGTGTCACAAATCTTTTTTTCTGAAACTCACTGATTGATGTGCTATGTATTCTTTATTGTGCCCAGGCTACCAGCCTGCAGCACCTTGAATCTGTCAGCTTCAAAGCCTTGCCCTTTAGGGTGAAGAATTATCAGCAGCCTCATGTCAGTGTGTGGAGAGACTGATATTTACAGTTTAAGGGATATTTGCTTTCTTTTGCAATTTTAACTAGCCTTTTATGATGTTCTGAAGTACTGCTTCAACAGCTATCCACTCCTCTAGTTGCAGTAGGCCTTGTCTCCTTTCTTCTGTGGCATCTTGTTATTTTGCTTTGCTGCTTCATGTTAATTGCTTTAACTACTGCCTGTGAAAAAAAAAACAAACAAAAACCAAACCCCAAACTGATTTAGTTGGCAGATTATCTCCTTATTTTGTACTTTGAAACTGAAAACTGTGAGCAAGTATAGCTTTGAGAAAAGGAGCAACTAAAAATTCAGATGTTCTTTTTTTCCAGTAAGCTGTTTTTTATGGCTCTTTAGAGTATGCCATAGATCAGTTGCCTGGTGATAAAAGACTAGAGCATGTGATAGAACACTATATCTCTATTTGTTGAAATATTTCATATCCAATGTGCCAGCCAAACTTGAACCAGGAAAGCCACAAAATCTGAGTGTAGAACAAGATAACAGCAATACAAATTACTTGTTCTCAGTAGCTTTTTTCTGCGACCCTCCCCTCCCACCTCCATTTTCTTGAATGTCTTGTGTAATATTCTCTTTGACTTGCAAAGTACAGTATTAATGCCATTTTTTTGTCAACTGAATTTGCAAGATTACTGCCACTGAGTAGACAGCTCAGTAGCAATCATAGAATGGTTTGGGCTGGAAAGAACCTTAAAGATCATCTAGTTTCATCCCCCCTGCCTCAGGCAGGGACACTTCCCACTAGACTAATCAAAGGTAAACTTCTAAAAAACCCACCAAATTACATGCCCCAATTCAACCTAAGCAACAGTGGA